CCGAGCTAGCTTTGTGCGGCCAGCCTGCTCGTGCTGCCCGGTACTGCAGGTCTCTCTGCAGGCAGGGGGTCGGCGGGGCTGGTCTCACCGCCGCGCGCTGCCCGTCACCCTTCGTCGGGGCTCTGATGCATCTAATGATGAATTCCCAGGCCTTTGAGAAGGGATTATGTCTTCCAGAGACTACAACAAAATATAATAAACTTAAAATAGCTGCTTCCTTATGGAATATGCCAACAAGCCCCACTGAAAACCCAGTAGAGCGTAAATTTGCATAAATTTGAATACATCTCCATAATTTCAGCCTCACCCACCAGCCCTGCTCCTGTGATGAATCACACTGTAATGCCTGACGTTGCGGGCAGCTGAGGGTATTTGGCAAATACTAGGCCACAAACACCACCGCTAAGGAGGCCCCTTGGTGCTGCTGCTACCCCGACCCTCCTTAGAGCCGGGCCAGAGTGATGGTCCCCAGCTGTCACGTTCCCACCTGCTCCCCCCGGGACCCCCGACACTGGCACGGAACCTCTTTCCCGCTCTCTCACTGCAGGAAATAACATGATCAATCCCCAGGGAGGTGCAAGAGGGTCTTGCAACCATCAGCCTGGGTGCCGGGGGAGGGAGCAAGCTCAGGTGGCTCCATGGAGGGGAAGGGGTGTGAAAGGTCTGCTCAGGATGGAGCCCTGTGCCAGTGCCCAGGGGATGGGAACGAGGTCCTCAAAAGGAGGAACAGAGGAGCCCATGCAGAGATCCACCGAGCAAGCTGCTGGAAAGCAAAATACTCTCCTTTTATACCCAACTAATGGGTCCAAGCCTTTGAGCACCGAATTTCCATCACCCATACAGAGATGTGTCCTTCAGCCTTCTGTGTGCCCCAGGCAAACCCAGCATGGTGCGGGGTACTGAATGCGACCCCAAGTTCCCCAGGTATCACCTGAGAGCCAAATCTCAATGTTGAACTGTCTAAAAAGTACTGATACATACAAAATACACCTTAAAAAACCAGAAGCAACACCAGGGAGGCCGTGCTTGCGTGGCTGAGCCCAAACGGCGAAGGTGTGCTGTGGTTTCCTTCGCCGCACGGACACTTTTATTCAGGTGGGATCTGCTTGCTTGTGGCTTAGATCCCACCAGGAGTGATGTGAGGGGCTGTGAGGGCTGGAGAGGTGGTGGAGTCCCCAGGGAGGTGGCGGCTGCCCCCGGCACGAGGCTGTGTTGTCAGATCTCCGTCTCGCTTGCATTGTACAGAGGGTTGAGGTAGAAGATCTGGTGGTCTTTGGGAGCCGTCTCCTGTGACACCTTCTCCCCAGGGTCAGTGCTTGGTGGTTCCTGCAGCGGTGAGGGAGGGAAAAGCAACCGATGGAAGAAGGGAAGCAAAACCCACGCAGCGCTGAGTCCCCGTGGCAGCCGAGGAGCTGGTGACCTGCGGGAGGACGGGACCGTCCCCAAACCCCCTTCTGGCCTGGGGAAAGGAGAAGCCCTGCCGGGTGCATTGCTCTGGAGAGGGTCCCGGCTGGGGCCCTGCCACCTCCTGCCCATGGCCCCGAGCCACCCCCCGTGTCCCCGGGACTCACCATGTCGCACATGGGGGTGTCGAAGCCTTTGTCACCG